ATATACCTTACTTGTATTAAAATTTGCGCAGTACTAGAATTCGCGCAGCGCTGGGTTGCGCGAATTTTAGTAATGTACGAAATATAATCCGCGCGAAAAGCTTTGTGATGTAATATGAGACACCGGTTGTTAGTAATGCACATCAGTTGATTTATATAACGCACATATACACCGCATTTGACATATCATATGTTTTAAGTTGTCCTGTCAATATTAAAAATAAAAAATGTCTTCCTCCCGGACAATTTCAGGCGGGATATTCTTAGGTTCCACGTATCATTCCGTTACGAATGCCTGCATTTTGCCACAGATCCTCAAACATTGTTGCCAAAGTTGGCAACGATCATGTGTGAGCGTCGCATTGGAAGAGCTACGACGAAAAGAGGATCGATTTGAACTCTAGCTAAATATATTTGTGTGTTTTGAGATATATTTGTGCGTTTGAAATAAATTTGTGTGTTGCACTTGTGGGCCACCGTAGTTTTATACCATTTATGAACCTATAATATATGGGAATGCTGATAAAAGATTATTGTTATTGTATGAGGCAAATGAGAACCATACAATAAATGTTTTAGTTTTATTACATAATTTTGAAACCATTTTTGAGGGCACCTAATCGCTTTTTGATTAAGTTTTGATAAAAAATACTCGTTATAAATACGTTAATTGTCAATAGTTCTATTGAACAAACCAAAAAGAACGAACACGGAAAATTTCTTGCCCGAATTTAAAGCTGCGCGAATGTGAGCAAGGTGCGCGAAATTAAATCACGCATGAGTACGACGCGATTATTGTTTTAATGGCACATTCAAGGCTACCCCTATTGCAGAACAACTGAACAATCTGCTGATGAAGAGACAAAATCTATGTTGAAATTTTTGTCAGCTTGAGATGACCATTCATTTGTAATGATTAAGATTGTAGAAAAAAATTCTGAGCAGGTGAATATATGAATGTAAGCCGGTATATTACATACAATGCTAACCAATGGACATATCTGAAATACTAAAAGTACATTTTGAATCCTTGTATAAATATAAAGACGATCCGTGGGCTATTAGAACTGCAAATTCATGAAATCATATTGGTTTCAATACCTCTATATCGAACACTAAACAGCAAATCTAAATATAAATGCCTTCATGTATACCACCAGAAAGAAATAAAGCTATCCGCCATGAATTATTCAAAATATAGTCGATCCTTTGCATCGTATTAAACTGTATTAAATCAAATTAAATCCTGAAAAGAATCATGCGAGCGCAATACAAAATAAATAAAATCGAATAAAAACAAAGAGCGTCGAATGCTCGAGCTGACAACAATTTCCGAAAAATCTTCACATCCGACGGACTGACATGAATTGAGTATGTTTACCCAATATAACTCCGGGAACTGGGCACGAAAAAGCAAGAACGTCATGTAACGTCAAGAATAGGGAGCTGCCTCGCTACGCTCGGCAGCAATAAAGTTCCGGTTTGTGATGCGTAGTTTCCGGGGTGGGGGGTGGAAGATGAATATTGAATGCTGGGTTTTGAAGTAATGTGAATATTTGAATATTGTTGATAGGAATATAAATATTTAGAGTGGGAGTATGAATAATATGAAAATTTGAAACAAAAATTGGAATGAATCAATATTTTCTGCCCCCGGACCAACCCGTCCACCCCCCCCCCGTCGACAGGATTTTATATGTATAGACCCATTGCACATGACGTCACAGCGCCGGTGACGATGCATCTGGATGACAAATTAGCAATCCATGCATAATATAACTTTTGTAAACAGAGCAAATTTTGTAAAACTTTATAATAATAGTTTGTATTAAATTGGTTAATTTTTGCGCTGTATGTGGTTGTTGTACCCGAACAGATATTGTTATGGAGTATCTGGAGGACACTCTAAGGATTTGTGACGTCAGTGCAATGGGTCAATGTTTGAAAATGATTTAGTCACTATTATGTATTTTATTTTTATCTTGAGGTTTGTTAAAAAATTGATGAAGTACCGTATATATATGATTATTAATATCGATTAAATACCTTAATATCTTCCGCCTTCAAATTTAAAAGTCTTGATGCAGCCGTTCTAGAAATGTCCGTCTGCATGTATATAGCTTAGCGCATGCGTTAATCTGAGGATATAAAATATGAGTAAATATGAATACCAAGTACAACCCATGCATCAAGATATAAACGCAGGAAGTGACATTTTGTTTTAACAAATTGTAAATGATAGTTATCACAAACTACAACAACTGTTACCATCGCGAAATAACAGTAGCATTTGTACAAAATGGAAACATTTCTTTCAGTTTAATACCTCCGTTAAAAGTAACAGATTCAAGCAATGTAAATTTTTTCAAAATATACTTATTATGGAAATAGTATGGATGTTCGCTGGTGGAAATAGTATGGAAATCCTAATTTCGTATTAATTGCAATTTTCATACTATAGTATGGACCAGGATACACTATGGATTTTAATAGCGATGCAATTGCAAATTTCATAATATGGATTTCATTATTTTTCCAGTGGAGAACAGTTTTATAATTATAGTCTACATAATTTAGTATAGTCTTATAGAGTCTCTAACTTTTAATCTTCCCCGAACTAACGGCCCTAATTTTCCGTTTCAAATTTTCGGGTGGGGGCTGCGAGCATGCTAACGGCCGGGGCGAGGGTACTAATTCCACTCGACTATTTAGAGCGGGGGAATGCAAAAGTGCTAGCGATTTCAAAAGTGGGGTGGTGGGTGGTCATCTCACTGATCTTAAAATATGGCGCACTGCCAGAAGTGCAATGATCCAAGTGCCACGATTTCAGTTAAAAGCATATGGAAAAGTCGTTTCATACAATAAACTCTAAAGCGACTTTTTAAATTTTACCTTAAAGAAATGACAAGGAGAGATATAAAATGGGAAATGATGAAATATGAACCAAGTTTATGTATTTTTTCGTAATATATGGTGCGTTGCATTCGGGTTTTCCATCCATCTGCATGTCCGTCCATCATTCCATCTACGCGTATTTCACTATATAACCGTTAGAATAAGTCGCTTAATTATATGCAGTTATTAAGGTGGCTCAGTACAGTTTTTAAAAATATGGAAAATTCACGATTTAGATGCATATTTTTGGACAATTATTACTTGTTGATAAACAAAAAGTACCTTACTTATATAAAACAACATCTAAAGAGTTTGAATTTTTGCACAAAGGTTACACAACTGCCGTTGCGATGGCAACAATGACGTTTCAAGATGGCGGATATTTTGGCTTTAAAGAAATTTAACTCGTAAACGACATCGGTGACCCCCAAATATTATTTTAGAAAATGATTTCTCTTAGTATAATCAATTATTTTGACCATTAAAAAAAAATCTGTGGAGCCGAAATTTTTAAAATTACGTAAAGGTGATTATTCATAATAATTTTTTTTTGGCTTCACAGAATTTTTTTTTTAATTGTCAACGTGAATCAATATACTAAGAGAAACCATTTTTTAAAATACAATTTGGGGGTCACCGATGTCGTTTACGAGTTAAATTACTTTAAAGCCAAAATATTCGCCATCTTGAAACGTTATTGTTGCCATAGCAACGGCAGTTTCATAACTTTTGTGCAAAAATTCAAACTCTTTAGATGTTGTTTTATATAAGTAAGGTACTTTTTGTTTATCAACAAGTAATAATTGTCCAAAAATACGAATCTAAATTGTGAATTTTCCATTTTTTAAAAACTGTATTGAGCCACCTTAATTGTCTTTTTGTGGTTGGCTGGTGCGTTCGCTGCATCCTTGTGGTACATCTTTGGTAAACACCAATTATTCAAAGTTAGACTATTTTGTCAACTGCAGACTTTATGCTCATTATTCTCATTATAATATGGGATACACAATTGAACAATATTTAAACCACATGTCACGCTACTGCAACCATAAAAAAAATTTATATAGGGGGACCTAAAAAGCCCTACATTTTCCAAATGAAATCAATGTTATTTGCGCGTAGCATTCAATTAAATGTTCATCGACGCGCTCCCACCTAGGCAAATTTTAAAGCTGCAGTAAAACAGGACTACGCTTTTGCAACCACAAAACCACACGATCCGATCGCTGTTACATAATTTGAGGTTACTCCCATGTTTTTGTTTTAGATACAGTTTAAATTATCTAGTGGTACTTTTATATGAGTTTTTAGGCTTTCAGTCACCTAATTTTCAGCTGAATTGATATGTCCACGAATTCTACGCAATGATTTCGATGGATTTACTTATGCGAAAACTCAACACTTTGCAACGCATATATGTCAATAAAGAAAGCGAAACAATTTTCTCACACAAGAGAAATGAATATTCAATATAATAAACTTAAATCTACATTTCTGGCAGCAGAGAATAATAATTTCTCCTACTCTAATCGTTTGCGGGGATTTGTGAAGAAAATAGGGGTCTTATAGAGTGGTCTTGGGATTATCTCCCAGTCAATTTGTATATTTTTGATACTCGATGATTACATTAGTCAAGCATATTTTAAGTTATAATTTCGTTGTTTTCATAACGGCACATGTTTTAGGTCGGTATAAATGGAATTAGAATTGCGCATTTTGGGCAGAACTGCACGTTAAAAATAAACCTGCACATGTCCATGACGGTGATGGTGTTCTTTATGTTTCATTATGTATCGATTTCTGCCTACACTCTTGTGATCTGGTCACTAATAAAAATTTCTCGATGCCTGCAAACCAGTTTCCTTTCGCAAAAAGTGAAACTTGTTTGTCGTTGATCACAAAAAATACGACGACTAAGCCCATATATTCCAACTATTATTAGGAGCCGATAAAGTTTAGCTATCAACAATTAATTAATTGTCGGCTAGGTAAAAGTGGTTATAAAATCCATGCATTTTATATTTTATAGGATTGCTGGAAATCAAAGAAGCTCCATAAAAAGATAGTAAAAATTGTATTTCTACAGTAGTTATTTCAAAATATAAAATGGATATACTTCTCCTTGCAAAGAGGCTACGTGATAGATTTATGATCCAGATAAATAAAACCGAAAATATTGAACGGCAAAACTCTGAACAAATGAGGGAAAGAATCCAAGAACTGAAATGCGATTTGATCGAAAACAAAGAGATAGCGCAAAGGATGATAGAAGGTATCAACGAATCAGTGGAACTAAATCCCGAGAAAAGGAGGAAGTTAGAAGAACAAATAAGAATCCTTGAGGAAAATGGAGCTTATCATCAAACGCAAATTGCGCAGTTGGAGGGAGAAATTTTTAGACAGGATGAGCGGATTGAAAAATTAACAGAAAATGTACGTGGATTCCAAATCCAACTAGCAGCAACGGATAACAACCTCGTGGAAACACGAAACGAACTTGCAGACACAAAAAATATTCTTACGGTAGCGCGAAACGACCTTGTGGGTACACAGGACGAACTAAGAGAAACGAAAACCTATCTTGAAGCAATACGAAACGAACTTACAGAAACAAACAATGTGCTAACGAAAACTCAAAGTGATAACGAATTGACGAAAAACGAATTAAAAAAGATGGAAAGTGTCCTTCGAACAGGCCAGATTGCTTTCGACTTCGAGAAGGACCTTGCTACATACATCTACCCACATGATAAGAAATTCGGATCCTGCAAAATATTCACAAACATGAAGAAATGGCTGGAAGAGAAAAAGAATACCCCACAAGGAAGTGAAGCAAATGAAAAGTGGAAGGCATTACAGGTCGAATTTTCGTGGTCAAATGAACATGAAAGAGTATTTTTTAAACTGCTCGAGTCCAGGAAGGAGTTTGCGCACCCTGTACTTGATCGAAATTCCGTTCAATCGCAGATTCCTGACGGCTATACAGACGAAGAAAAGAAATGCATCACAGATATTGTTGGCATGGTTGAGCGAGTGAGCATATTGATGCAGCAGTAATGCTTAAAAACCGGTTACAGACGAACAGGTTCTCGAATGTTAAGTTTTATTTTTCAGTTTCCCATGTTGTAAAACAATTTTGTCATATGAAAACTTGATATCACACGCAGGAAACTTGTTTGTCCGTAACCTGTTTAAAGGGAAATGGCAATATATTTTTTTATTTTCTCATTTGAAAGAACTTTTAAGACTATATATAATACTCTTTTACCGTTTTTGTATATCTTGCTTACTTCTACAAAATATAATTTGATTGAAAGGAATGAAATGTCCGCAAACTTCAATTTTTGTAGATATCCATGTCACGTCACAACAGGGATCACGCAAATTTATCTACACAAACACTAATCATTTTGCACTCAAAACTATATGTCTGCCCTTCGAAATATCCAGATCACTCAAAACCTTTAAAACATCTACCAATCAGTATTTGGTTAGCAACGCATACTTCTATATGGTTATATATATATATATATATATATATATATATATATATATATATATATATATATATATAAATCTGAAAATCCATAGAAGGTCACAGAATGGAAATTGTATGGACCTTTATTGAAAATGGATTTTGGTTATCCATAATAATTGTATATTTCCATAGTATGGATATAGTATGGATATAGTAGGATATAGTATGGAAATAGTGTGGATAAACTGTGGATTTAGTGGTGCAATTGCAAATTTCGTAGTATGGATTTCACTTTTTTTCCAGTGTATATTTAACAAATATAAAACATTTTCCGTGTTTATATACAGGTATATGGGTGGAGTGTTTTCACATGCACAATTACGAGTTTTCCTAATTTCCACGAGTGTTGATATAACTGTATATCAATACGGAAAAATGTTTTATATTTGTTTTATAATATAGCACAAAGAAATATAAAGAAATAAATTTTCCAACGTTTCCGTGTTGACATTGAGCTATATCAACACGGCTCTGAGCCAATCGGCGCTCAGAAGTTACAAATGCTATATTATAAATATATATATATATATATATATATATATATATATATATATATATATATATATATACATATATATATATATATATATATATATATATATATATATATTTATATATTATATATTTATATTATATTATTATATATTTATATATATATATTTATATATTTATATATATATATATATATATATATATATATATCTTGTTTGTCGATGCTGACACGTATCTGAAGAGTGCTCAATGCAGGTAAGATTTTGCAGAGCAAAACTATTATTGGTGTAGACTAAGACATGATATCTGAAGATAATTTAATAAAACCTAAACCTATTTATGATAAAAGTTACTCGATATATATATATATATATATATATATATATATATATATATATATATATATATATATATATATATATAAATATACAGATATATGCAGCCGAAAATTTAGTTTTTGTATCTAATACGGTATACCTTTTTTTAATAAACTTCTTCAAACGTAGCCGTTCTGTTTGTTACATATGAAGTCTTGTCGGCTGAGCAGAGTACTGGCATTTGTCACATATATATATATATATATATATATATATATATATATATATATATATATATATATATATATATATATATATATATATATATATATATATATATATATATATATATATATATATATATATATATATATATATATATATATATACATATATGCTGCGCACTTTGTATACATGTAATAAACAATAAGCAGTTCCACACAAACATATAAATACGGAGCGTGGTTTGTATGTATCTGTATAGAGTACGCAGTCGATACAAGGTGTAGGAACACAACATGGACATGTTCAGCCGTAATAGAATCGCACAAGAACACCGACAGCGAAATTCAGCGTTTGATGGGTGAAAGGTATGCGGCAAGAAATCGACGACTACCTTTGGCAGATTTTCGAATCCATCTTCTCCTAAATGCCCTACAGTGAAACATCGTTGCAAACATACATTCCACGCTGCTTAAACGGGGGGCCATCCAGGGTTGAAGGATATTCCTGCTTGATATCCCACATATTTTGTTGTGCTCACTTGAAAAGACATTTGTGTTAAATGAACGTGATATGAATTCTATTGTTATTACAAACACACAGTTGCCAATTAAGACCATTGTAATGATTATACATAATGACAATAAAATGTTACTTTCACCTGTTGGTGCTTAACAATATTAATAATAAACAACGTTCTCATTAGAATTGACTCTGACGTCTAATCCCTAGATTTGTATGGTCCCCATATCCATTGTATGTTTATTTCTTGATGTTGAATACCTTTAGACGATAATGATTGATTATGCATATTCAAATTTTTGTATTGAATACGCGTTTCATGCAATTCGCTGCCAAATCCGCCCAGATGGATATCTCTACGTTTTATTGGTCGCTGGTTCATACACATGGTAGCTCGTTTTATCGTTATGACTATAACAAGCGGTATATATATATATATATATATATATATATATATATATTATATATATATATATATATATATATATATATATATATATATATATAATATATATATATATATATATAATATATATATATTTAAAATACTCATTAATAATTCATAAACCTTGTGGCAAATCATGTCAGCCATAATATGTCACGTGGAGTGACTTTATATCTGATAAAACACATGTGGCGTTATATAATTGTTCATCTTAATTAGCATGATTATACTATGCTTCATCCTAATTAGTATTAGTGAGTACGAGTAGGAGTGTTTTATCAGATATATAACGCTCGGCTGCGCCTCGCGTTATATATCTGATAAAACACTCCTATTCGTGTTTTAAATAGTATATATATATATATATATATATATATATATATATATATATATATATATATATATATATACAAAATTTTTCGTTTTAACTATAAAAACCAAAACGGTCTGTTTCATCCGTAGGATTCCTATACGGATGAAACAGGCTGTTGTGGCTTTATTTGAGGTAAAACAAAGAACTATATTACGCTCGATCTATATGGTATTGAGCACTGTTTGTGTTTCATTAACCAAAAACTTATTTTCCCACGAAATTCGGTCTTCCACGCTGATCACAAGTTTCTCGTGGTCAAATCTGAAGCATGAAAGTCCACAAGCTATCTCTTCTAAATCAAATGCTTGAAAGAGGATAGCCAATTCAGCATTAACAATCTTATCGTATTAACGGCTTTGTAAACCATTCTTAAGCTCTCTACACAGCACTGCCACTATCAGATCTTCAATACATTCAGTTGGAGTTC